AAAAAACTTCAAAAACATTGAAGTATCATGCGTATAATACTCAATTATAAATAATTTTTATTTTAAAGTTTCCTTTTTGCCTCCTTTTTGTAAGCATATGAACTCGTTATACGTGTGAATGATGTTAAAGTATCCAAGTTAATTCGTAATATTCACTTAATGTAATTACGAAGTAACAAGGATAAATGAGTATTTTATATGTTTCAATGTTTTATGAAGAACAGTATTGATTATTATAAGCTACAGTATATACATCATATTGAAGAAGAAAAATGACTCGTTTGTAAACTTTTAAAACATGCTGATCAATAAGAATGAATAAAAAAAAGTCAATGTATTATGTAATATACATTTGTTTATCGCTTTTTCTTTGTATATGTAATTTTTTTAATATACACATTATAGTTTTTATTTAAAATTATTTGTTATATAAAAGATAAACGTTACCCTTATCAAATCAATCCGCGGCAAAAGATATTTTACATAGAATAGAGTAGCGTTTATTTAATAATTGGCTTATTCTTTAATTCATTATTGTGATTAATTATTTTTTGTTACCTTTTCTTTTTCTCTTTTATTGCTTGCGTGTCATTACATTCCAATTATTTGCTGAAGATAAATTCTGCAAACTAAAATTTTGCAATAATTCACACATCCGTTTGTTCGTTCGTTCTCGCAGCACATTTTTAACGAAAGCGTCCTTTTGTGCTTGCGAAATTGTGAATAAGGCACCATGTTTCTCGAAGGCGACACGAAGCCACTGTGCTGTCCATTCTATGCATGTCTTATTTAATGTCAATAAAACTTCTGCGTGAGGCTCCAGATTACTCCGTGGTACTTCGCCTCCTATTATATATTATATATTATATATTATTACGAAAATGTTCAAAATTTTTATAAATATGTTTATCTATTTACATACCCACACACTGCAAAATCACAGAAACTAATTGTTGACCAATTGGTTGTACGAACGTCTGTAAGTGTGGACTCTGAGTAATAGCATGAGTAAGAAAATGTCCGGCTGCTCTGACAGTACCCGTTTCTGGTAACGTTAAGCAGTCGATTCCTGTAATAAAATTAGATTTTTAAAAATTTTATTCTTTATTATAGATTTTTAAGTTTTATAAATAAAAGAATAACGTAAATTAAAATTTAAAATTTACCACATTGCAACATTTCAGGAATTTGATCAGGAATTTGTAATAACATTCTGGTATTCTTTTTGCAAATTTGAGCCAATAATCCAAGATATGCTTCCATTAATTCTGCCCAGTCAGACAAATTTCCATTTACAGATCTGCAAGCCCTAACACCACATAGAGTAATTGAGCTTATATCCGCGAAAATGGGACCTATTATGTTGTTCGGATCTCGTCCAAATAATAATACAAGTTGTCGAAGAAGATTTAAGGCAGCAGGATGAGGCCAAGTCTTATACGAGTTTGCCAAGATAAGAAGCAGAGGTCGAGCATCTTCCTCTGGATGTAATAATGACGTTAAGGATTTTTGAGCGCAAATATACATCTCTTCTAATGTGAAATTATCTTGACCCCATTCGGGATGAGCAACGATTTGACTAAATATTGGTAATAAACCATCTAACACAGCCTTTCCAATAGAACCTTCCAATGTAGAGAAAAACATGGTAGCCATTTTTAATTGATTTATCACTGCACCACGTGCTATAAACCAAGGTTGTTGCAGAAGTTCTCGAATTTTTATTATACATAAACCTAATGTAGCATCTAAGTGAGCTAATTGTTCATCAACAGAAGGTAAAGTATTCAATAATTTTCCAGCTGCATACATTAATCGCAAACCCTCTGCACATCCTGGAGTAACATTTGGAAGAGTTCGTTCAATAGTATTGAGAATAGATGGAGCAAAAGGTGTAAGTTGTTGCTCACATTCTCGAGCTAAATCTTTTAAAGCCATAGTAGCAAAAGGTGCTGTCACCGAACCTCTTGTTAATCCTAAAGTAACAATTCGGAGCACCCTTTCAAGCCAAGGATCTGGATGTTCTCCGATCCATTCCGCATATGCTCCCATTGTTGAACATGCACATGCAAGTACCTGAAAACATAGAATAAAATCTTATATATTTATACTGCTAAATAAAGTAAAGTAAATTTAAATTTACTATTTTTTTTATAAACATAATATTTTTTTATAAACAAATAATCATATAATTTGATTATGCACCATTTTAATACAAGAGAATTTGTTGTACCTCTCCAGGGTAATGATCATATGGGATATGACTAAGAACCAAATCCATCAAAGCAGGAATGTAGTGGGATTCCTCAATACCAACACTGTCTGCTAAAGCCTCAAAAGCATGCAATGTAGATTCTACTTCCGTCCATTTTCCGGAGTTATCTAATGTCTGACTCAGCCTTTGTCCTAGAAGCACTAGTAAATCTTGTCCTAACACTCTGTAACAATAATCCAAAGCATCTGCCACATCTTGTCTATAACATCTGAAAAGCTCTCGTTCATCTGCATCTCCTGCTTCGTTAAGAGACGAAGGAAGTGTTGATTTTCTTAATAATGCTTGAACTAATCTTGCATAAACAGGTTTCAGAATCAATAAAGCACGACTTTCATAAGGCTGGTCGAGAGTAGGAAGATAGTCCTGTAAGGCGTACCAAAATCCAAATGGAATAGAACTGCGAGTTTCATTTGTAGGATATCTTCCTTCTTGTTCAGAACATTGTAAAAGTAATTCAATTAAACCTTCAACAGTCCATTTCTGTGTTTCGTTTCCTTCTTCTACTAAAGCATTTAGAAATGTTCTACTATGAGCCTCTCCAATTGCAGTTAAAATTTCACAAAAATATTTTCTATTATATTGCCTTGCCATGGTTACCAAACTGTGTGTCCATTCCCACAATGTTTGTGGTCTCTTTGGAAGCTCACTATGAGTTACTATCATGTTCAAGCATTCTTGTACAACTTCCCAGCCTCTGACATTTTCTTCATCATGTCCTTCCCTTTAAAATTGTGCAATTTAATTTATAAATATACTATGAATATATATACTGAATTTTATATATAAAAAATATATTACTTATATTTATATATATGTGGTATATATAGTATTATATTATATAGTACATAGTGTATATTTATCTTTATATTACTAATTTATAATAAATATATTTTTGTATTCTATTTATTATTATCATATATATATATATATATATTATACCTGCTTGGAGCATAATATGCTGCAGCTGCTAACAAATGGGAATATATTTGTCCTGTTGCCTCAAGAGGAAGTTGACCAACTTTAAGCCAAGCTAATGCACATTCCATAGCTAATAAGTGCATATCATTATCAATGTCTTGAGAGTTTGGATTGCACATTAAAAAAACTTGTTGTAAAAGCCAGGTTGTCTTATACCATCCATTTACTAAACATTCATGTAACTTGGCTCGTCTTGCTTCATGTCTTCTTTCAAACTGATAATATTATCAATATTATTAATATTATTATTTATTCTTTATTATATTTATATTTATCATCTATTATTTTTATTAAATTTATAAATTATTTATATATATTTTACCTCTATAGGTAATACAGAAAGTGTACGTAATAACAGTTCTAACATGGGAAGAGAATTATATGATAACATTCGCATCAATTCATCTACAACATTTTTATCCTTGTCATCATTCTCTGCCATTGCGCAAGTATTTGCTACAAATCCAGCTAACTATAACAATAAAATTCCCTATTTAATTAATCTAATTAACTTAAATTAAATTGAATAAATTCAAATAAAATATTACCGCATGACAGAGTTTAGACAGAACAACCTTTGGCATATTTGGCTGCTTCATAAAGTTTATTAAACGCTCCTGCAAAGCAGGATATTCACTTTTGGGTACTTCTTCCCATTGCTTAGAAATTTTGGCATGCAATGTAGTAGCTGCATAAAATTGAGCTTCTCTTGACTATAATAAAAATCAAAATTATTATTTTTAACAAGATATTTATATTTACATGAGAAAAAGAATATTCCATGTACCTTGGAAGGATCAAGAAGTTCCCAGACAAAAGTCCAAGCTTCTGGAGAGGCCTGAACTCTGAGGAGCCATGCATGCACATCATTATTTCCTTCCGCGTAAAACTGTTTTACAGCTTGATCGATTACAGTTGCATAATCCATCGTAAATTGTTTGCTAAATTTTATAAATAATCTTATATGTTCGATAACTACTAAATCTATACTTGAAAAGACCTCATTGTCATTAAAGAACAACTTCTTTCGTCTAATTTCGTCAGAATTTTATATTTAGTTCGTTTCAATGTTTCTTTCACTAATAAGTATTCTATCATCTTCCTTGTAAATCATTTAAAGCGTGGTCCCGTATGAAATTCTTGCACATAAATTGCTTAATCCCTGTTTACACAGTCCTTTTCGATTTTTCGACCGTCTTCAAAATTTCATGATTGCGCGCAAAAACGACATCTTTCGCTATCAGCCAACAGCTCTATTTTTATTATATTTTTTAGAAACACACCTTAATTTTATTACAATTTTCAATCATTGAAAAATGAATTGAGTGTGTATAAATTTATTATATTTGAGAAAAACAAATATGTATTAAAAAAGAAAATCTTGTACAAATTTGTGCATATTCTTAAAATATTTATATAGAAAATTTATATCTTATATCTTACATTTTAATATGATTCCATGTGAACAAGAATTTAATAAAATAACCTTGCTTTAGTTAAGTTTAGTTACCCATACTTACCTTTGTGACAGAGAGACATTGATGTACTCTTTATATTTTTTTTTTTGAGATTGTCATAATTCAAAGATAGTTTATTTTTTATTATTTGAATTTTTTGATCTATTTTATCTATGATATTATAAAGTCTTTATTGCATTAATATTTTTTACTATTACGGTTAATTTACAGTTTTTACATATTATTTCTAAGTGTTTATAAATTATCTCTTAATGATTATAAAATAATTACATACATAATTAAAAGTAAAATATGAAATATTTATGAAATGATAACCTAACAATATGGATAATTCTAAGGATTTGCTTACTAAAGGTATAATTTTTCCATTACTAAATTTTTTACTTAATATAATAATCAATATCTATTATTAATAAAAATTAATAAAAAAGCAGTAGCTCTTGTAGAGCGTAATATTAAACCACAAGGTATTCTGCTAAATGATCCAGAATCAGTAGCTAAAACATGTCAAGAAGACTTAATTACATTGGCAACAGAAATTGAAAAAGCAGACAATTTTATCAAAGCAAATGCCTGTAGCAAATTGCAAATAATTGTTGAGCAAATAAAAGCTCTAAAGAAACAGGCTGAAAATATCCTCACAGAAGCAAATTGGAATATGAAATTACATCATGTTTCTTGTAATTTTGTAAAACATCCTGGACATGTATATCATTTGTATCAAAGAGAAACTGGACAACTATATTTTTCAATGATTAGTCCAGAAGTGAGTCAATTATAGTTTTATTTTATTCTAGATTTAAAGAAACATTGTTAAAAAATTAACTATTTTATATATATACACTACTCATGTATAGGAATGGGGTAATTCTGGACCAATTCAAATTTATAAAGGTTCCTACAGATTAGAACACGATCGTTCATGGACATCTTTAGAGGAAATTGATAAAAAAAATAAAGAAATAACTATGTTAGCCAATCTTTGGTCTAATATTTCAACACCTGCTTTTAAAAGTCTTGATTTAAATGTAAATATGTAAAAATAATATATAATGTATTCAATTTAAATAAATTTGTTCATTTCAAACATATATATTCAACTAAAAATTTAAATTATATTTTTTATTTTTTTCGAATTAAACAATTTCGAAGGAAGAAATTATGTATGAGTGATCTAAAACACGATTTCGTATAATTTATCAATTACACTTTTCATAGTAATTCATATGATACTATTATTATTATTAACAAATAAAATATACGAATTCTAAAAATAATGTATATAATTCTATATACATTTTGCACTTTATGCAACAAAAATATTTTATATATTAATGAATTGCATATTAGATATACAGTTTTATCAACAAACGATTCTTCAAATAATTATTAATCTTCAAGATAATGTGAATAGTAGATAATATGAAAAATATGTCTATTATAATTGTACAAAGACATAATAAGTTTGCTCTCTCTTGATTTTTTTATATAACGACAATTTAGTCGTCTTATCTAATGCAATTCGTTTCTATTTCATAGGCAGTATTTATGAAGACAATATTCTGATTCTTTCACTGTGTTTTTTACATGGGACTTCATGCAAATGATTACATCAGGGAAAATAAAATTATCATCAAATGATTAATGAACACTCAATTTCTTCAACAAAATATCTGTAGAAGTTTAATCTAAAAAATGATCGAAAGAATTCAGTGAAGCAGTACAGACTATTACCATGAACCACAGTGACTTTATTTTAATTTTTTATGATAGCGCATGCGTCATGTTGTATTTACTCTATGTGCTAAAACAAAATAATTTTTTTATTAATATTTATAAGAATTATAATTATGATTATAAAATATTTTTATAATTCTTACATGGTAATGGTATTCTGACTGGTGCATTATCTTTTACTATGCATTCATGTGTTTGATTACGAAATAGATATTGTATTAATAATTGTTTCTCTTCTCCTACACATGGATCATAAAATCCTGGAAGTTCACTCTGCAATGTTATAATTTATATTTTACAATAAAAAATATGAACTAATTTTAATGTAAGTAATTTTATAAAATTACCTTAGATGCATCATAAAGAATCAACTTTGAATCCTTTACTAAACATTGTAAAGGAATAGTTACATCTATTACTTCATCTCTATGTATGGGCCGTTGATCTGAGTTATATTGATCTTGTTGAGGATAAACAAATCTTCCATATAAAGCTTTTGAGATAATTAAGCCCTTTTTTGATTCTTCCGTAGCTCTTATCCTACTCACAGTGGCTTTCATTAATTTGGTTGCACTTTCTGCTTCTTTCTGCTTTTCCATCATTCTCGTTTTATTTACTTCCTTTTCTTTCTCCTTTTCACGCTCTTCTCGCTTTTTTACCATGGGATCTATCACAATTTTTTTTAGTATGACCCATGTCATTATTGGAACTACAGTAGCATAGAACACAGTGGCTGGAAGAACTTCATCACTAAGATGAATAGGAAATGCATAAGTTTGAAAGGAACGGTTCAATTTAAGTTTTAACATGACTCCTGTTGGCACTCCTGCAGATACTGTTGCAGATAGTCTAGTGTGTCGCGAAATTTTTTTTTCCGCACCGTATTCTACAACTAGTCCAAATGTACCAGCTCTATAATTAACAAAACATTATAATTTGCATGTATAATTTGAAAACTATACATTATACAATCATATATATAATATGAATTATATATTCAATAATTATATATAATTGAATAATGTATATAATATATATGAATAAAATAATTTGTTAATACTAACTTTACACTTCCGCGTAGTTTCATCTCTTTCTCATGCATTTTATATACGTAATTAAAACTAATAAATGACCGTATGATACCAAGATGTATGGAAAATGATGTATAAGATCTATCTGTATCTCTAACAATGCCAGTACTCATAGAACTTTCCGAGCCTGCATTATATGTAAGCTCTCCTATTGTATGTGTGTCTAATTGCATTGTAAGTGCTAAAATTAATATAATTTCCAAAATTAATATTTTAATTAAAAAATTATATATATTTTTTCATTAACTGATATTTATAATTAATAAGATGAATGAACATACTGCCTACAAGACTAGCCTTAATTTCGACTGGAGTGAACTCAAGTACTGTTGCTCCATTAAACATCAATTTATGAGGTAATAAACGGAAACCTTTAAATGATATTGTTGGTCCATTTCCAGCACCAACTTCCAATTCTATCCAACCTTTTGATGAAAGTAATCGCTTTGCAGCTATGTGTATGGAACCAGAACCTATACCATTTCTTGTACTTAATTGACCATACATTGTTATAATGTCTTGCAAAGTAAGAGGTGCCTCAATGGACTGTGTGAAAGACATTCCACTGACTTCTATGCATGAAAGTATGTCCCTGCTATATTTTAAAATACAATATACTTTATAATATGTACAACTATATTAAAATTACAGAACATTACCTATCTTCATAATCTTTATCATATCTATTAAAAAGATCTGTAGCATTGATATTCATTGTGATACTAGTAGTAGGATTTGTAAGCCTTAATAATTTTCTTTCTTCTGCTTCTTTTGCAAGATATTCATATTCTTCTCTAATTTCTTGAGGTGTTTTAGTACGCTCTACTATCTCCCAACCTTCAGTTTGTAATCCTCTAATACCCACTGAATCATAAATAGCTCTTTGATGGGGATTACTTAAAACTAACATAAACAACATATTAATTTTATATAATAGATAGATTGAAATATTTTTACAATAATTAATCTATATAAACCTTTATATGCTGCTTTAGTGCGATTAAATAAAATTTCTGCTTCCTTCTTGAGTACAGGATCAACATGTTTGTCAGGATGATAAAGTTTGCTCTGCCTACGATAAGCATAATTGATCTCTTCCTGTGTAGCCTATGAATAAATCTAATGTAACTAAAATATTTATAAATAACTTTTACATTTAATGTCAGAAAAGTTCAATTTTAAAATATATATTCTTTTATATTATTTAGATTAGAAAAGAAAAGATTTAAACAAAAAAAGTAATAAAAATGACGAAAATGTTACTATGTTAGTATGTTGAAAAAAATTAATTAATATCAGAACATAATAGTGTTTGACAATTTTTCTTAGTAATAAAGTTTATATTATATTGTTACGAAGAGATCGATTACATCAGACATTGAGAAATAGTATGTCACGTGGAAAATAAGAAATTGATCTTCACAATAAACCGGACAAGAAAAATACGTTCATAATTCGAAATGTCGTGTTGACTCACATTTCTTGGGATATTCAGGAATGTGTAATAATCATCTTCTATTAAATGTTCCTGATCATTGTCGTCATCCATTTCGGAATTTCGATTTTTTCTTCGTTGATTCAGACGAATTACAAGTACTAATGCTTCCCTAAAACTTAGTCTTCTGCTTCTATAGGTTACGAAAGACTCAGTCGAGAACCGGTTATCATTTAGTACTTATGATCATCGTCGGATGGTGCTAGATGAGCAAAAGCTCATTTTTGTTGGTCTGCATTATCGACTTTCAACAATTATAAATATAACGATAAAAATTTATTCGATTCATTTTAAGTACAACTGCAATGATTACAAGAATTTTTCTTTATTTCTTTGTTTTTTTAAATTTTTGCATTTTATCTTCTTTTTTATTATTTTTGTCTACATAAAATTACTCATAAATAACAAAAAAAAAAAATTGTAAAGGTAAATATTTAATTTTTATATTTATTATATAATTCATATGACATTTCCAATAAACGAAATGTTTGCAATAATTTTTTTTTAAACAATTTTATATTCCAATGATGATTTTATTTCTATATGTATTTTTGAGAAAAAAATATTTCAAATCGATAATTTTAAATAATTCTACGCTTACATATATCTTTTGCTAACTTAAGAATACTATAACCGTGACACAATAGCTTGCAGTGACTTGCTATAGAACGTGACCACGACCAGTCACGACAAACCACCATAAAAATCCAATAAAATTGGTAGGGAGAGACTAAGAAAAAAGGGCAGCCCAGTGCTACGGAGTCAGTTTGCTTTGACATTCCCTAATCAAAACAAGAGTTCCCTTTCTTTTCGTCTTTCCTTGCGCTTGTTAGGTCAGTTATAATTTTTAAAGGGACCGAAGGATTGAATTTCCTAATAATTTATCGTTTCTTCATAAGCGTGACTTGTTACGAATGAATGACAGGAATTTTTATAGTTTCTCCATAGCTTATACTCATAAAAATAATTACCTTGCTCCTCGCCTATAAGAATCTAAGCTGAGCTTATATAAAATAATTAAAGTATTATGTACGCATAAGTTTTGATTAAAAATTATTTCAAACAAATTGAGAGATGGTATATTTCTTTTGATATAATCAGCTCGCTTGTAATAGATTATCGTGCACGTGATAATAATTGGACAGGCAAGGCACACGTTGTTTTAGTAGCAAATTAATCGCAATCGCCGCGGCTAATGGCAACAGTAACGTTAAGAGGCGAGGAAACAATCGGCTGGATCGGCCGGCGGTATTGTTAAACACGCTCATTGTACTACTCTAACAATACACTGTTACAGTGACAACATCCAGGACGGTGAGTCTTAGCCTTAGATCAACAATCCGTTATCACCATTGAAAAATATCCGGCCATCGTTTTTTTTTTCGAATAGGAAATTTCAATGAATAGTTCAATACTTAAGGACTTAATAGTGCCGAGTGATATAGTAAATTCTATGATAAAAATTCTATATAAATTTAAATTAAAACATCAAGTAACTATATGATCAATGCGTAATATTTAGATTTACGATTACTATATCTAATATTTTATATTTTCAAAAAAAGATTATGTATCAACTTAATTCTTTTCTCTAAATTTTTACATATATTTTATCAATGTGACATAACGTTAGATAAGTGAATCTCTAATCAATGATAAATTGATCACAAGGAATATATTTAAAAAAAAAAAGAAGGAATAATAAGAAAATCATTCTATAAAAATGAAAATATCCAATAGAGATAAAAAGAACAAATTTTAATAATATTTTATATGAATAATATAATATTTTATATGAATAATATAATATATATATGAATAATATATATATATATGAATAATACATAAGCCTTTTTAAGTTATAATCTTAAGAATTATTTTTCTGATAATTCATGTTATTGTAGTAATAAATTAAATATATAATAAATATATAATATTTACTAAAATGATTAAAAAATCATTCTGAGGCAGAGTTAAAGAAATGTAACCCCTTCGGTTTTACAGACGTTATCAGTATCCTGCCTAAATCATTACGTAATCAGTGGCACGTATCACGGTCCCATTTCTCAGAATTATACTTATATCAAGTAAGAAGTATTTATATTGCTCACGATCAATGGCTGGGAACTTGTAAGATGTTTATTTGTCCGAAGATTTCGATTCCGATAAAGATGCCATAAAAAGAAACTGATCCTTTGGAATTCTTCCTTAGAATGACTGTACTATTGATTGCGAGATCTAGAAAAAATCAATTTGAAATAAAACCATATCTTCTTTTTCAATAAAAATTATTAATGAATTTTATTTAATTAAAAATTTCAATGATAAATTTCTTAAAAAATAATCATATTTTAACATGAATTTCATTTGATCAATTTTATAATTGTCCTGAAATTTATTAAAAAAAAAAAAAAAAAAAGAAAAAATTCACAATAACTTTAGAATAACACTTAATTACTATAAAATTTTTATGAAATTTGTTTAATTATAGCAATATAAAAATGCTTCAGATCTGCTTCAAAAAAATTTCAATACAGTCTCCTTCTAATAAAGGTACTTCAAACATATTTTCTATCCGGGAAACAATGGGTATTGTTTTTATGGAAGTGAAAGGATATTCTGTACAGTAGGAATCTGTAAGTACTCCGTAGCGAAACGAATCACGAGGTATTAGAGGACGTTTACTGAGCAGGCGCGTGCAGCTGATGCACCAGATCGATCTTTTCATCCAATGGAGGAGGCAAATGTTTCGCAGTCTCCGCCCAAAGCATGGCGACCGCTTTTCTTTCCCCTCTATGCTTTGTGTAACACGAAAAACGGAACTTGATCAGAAACACGTTTCTAATGGATAAATTAACTGCGTGCTTCAATTTTTGAAATAAAAAGGCCCACCATATTAAAGATTTACGATTCTACGAACAATTTGTATATCTTTCACTTGAAACAAAAAAAATTAATTTCTACAAATGTTTGATTTGAAAAATGAAATGTATATTAATATATAGAATATAATTTGAATGTAATAATTGATAAGATGAAGTTTTTTTTACAGATAGATATAAACTTTGCACAGTATCGATCCAAATGAACGCGTGCGCATTGAAAACCGGCAAAGTGGAAACGGCAATCCAATGATCAGACCAGGCGCGATTAAAACCTGACCAGGCGTTTTCCATTGAGTTCAGCAATTCTTTCGATGACCTTAATTCCTTCAGGATTCTAGGTAATGATTATCATGCAAAACACGATTGCCTAATTGTGATTTCTTAAGCGCTACCTGAATATGCTTACATAATTACACTTGATGACCGATATTGGACCAATATTCTTTCTAAAGTAGAGTAAAACAAATGTGTTTTGCCGTGGTCGAAATCGAAGGATGTCAGATAGATGTGATTGTAAAAAAGTACACCTAGATACATATGATTTTATTAATATAAATTAATGTAAGATTGAAATTTCAGAATAAATAAATAAATATATTTTAATCTTATTTATAATATAATATCCAAAAATTCGTTTTTAATTATTTTTTTTATTCAAGACATTTTTATATTCAGAAATTTCAACAACTTGTAAAAACCTGGTAAATAAATAATATTATCATTCTAAATGTAATATTTGTTTCATACCATTTAATAATCACTCTACTCTCTTTACAAACTTCCCATTGGAAGTATAACAAATAATAAATCAGCGCATCAACAATAACGAATAGCCAGACATTCTTATTCTTAACTGTTGTTTCTTTCTTCAGTCTCAATAAAAATAATTCTTCCTTCCTTCATCAACAAATGCATTGCACCATTTGTTCTTCTTTTCCATTCGATTTCCTGCAAAGAAGATTATCAAAATCATTTTATGGGTACTTGACATTGCCTTAATAACGAGTAACAATAAAGTCAGAGAGTATGGAAGTAGCCTACGAAGACAGGATTTTTGGCTGTTCTAGTCACAAGGGGCGGAGAACCAGACGTGGGAGGTCTCTGATAAGTTGGACGGCTCGGTGACCACGAAACTCCGCCTCTGTGCGCCTCCACCCGCTTCGAAACACTCGCTGGTCCGCTTCGACATTCTCAATTAGTTTCAATCTCGGTTGGCTCTCCTCTCAAGCTCATCGTGTTTCCGCTGCTACTCGACCGTTTCCACGCGATCGCGATTCGACACAAGTGTTAAAAAAAAAAAAAAAAAAAAAGAAAAAAAACCTCGTCCTCGCAATTGCAGTGCTAAGAACGAGGTAAACTTCTCTGGTGATCCATCTTTCGTCGTCCAATTGAAGATTCATAGGCTTGTTTCACTTCTTGATCACTGTGAGTTGTTTGTTTTAGTTTGTTATAGTTTTCATAAGCTTTTAGTGATCCGTTTAATAGTTTTTCATAATAAGAATTTTAATCGCTTAT